TTTTTCATGTTAACAAAGTGTCAGAAAAGGATTGGTCTTCAGATGGATAGAAGAGTGATGTGTGGCATACACTTCTAATGCTGGGCATAAAATGCCCCACCCCAAATGGCCCCTTTTTGGAAAGTAGACACCCCAAACTATTTGCTGAGAGGCATGTTGAGTCAATAGAAGAATTTCTTTTTTTACCACAAGTTTTTGGAAAAAGGACAAAAAAAAAGGTTTTTTTTTTTTACACAAAGTTGTCACTGATATTGCTCACACATGACATGGATATATGTGGATTTACTCCCCAAAATACATTCTGCTACTTCTCCCGAATATGGGGATACCACATGTGAGAGAGCTTTTGACAGTCTAGCCGTGTATAGGACCCCAAAATCCAATAAGCACCTTCAGGCTTTTAAAGGGTTTTATTTCCTCATTACACTTCCTGAATACCCATCACAGTTTTGGAGGACCTGAAATGCCGGAATAGCATGAAGCCCCCCCAAATGACCCCTTTTTGAAAAGTAGACACCCCAAGTAATTTGGTAAGAAGAATGGTTAGTATTTTACAGATCTCATTTGTTGCCAAGTTTTTTGAAAATGAAGACAGAAAATGAAAACATATATTTTTTCTTCTTTTTTTTTTCTTTTTAAAACCTTGGGAGAAAAAATGAGATCTGCAAAATGCTCACCATGCCTCTTTTTAAATTGGTTGGGGTGTCTACTTTCCAAAAAGGGGTCAGTTGGGGTTTTGGTACTATCCTGGCATTTCAGGAAGTTACGCACCTTCAGGCTTTCAAAGTGGTCATTGGATTTCAGGCTCCTTTTTGTGGCTAGGCTCACAAAACGTCTCACACTTGTGGTATCCCCATACTCAGTAGAAGTAGCAGAATGTATTTTGGGGTGTAATTCCACATATACCAATGGTTTGTGCGAGAAATATTTCAGTCAGAAAGTAAAAGCTGTGTATATTCCAGTATCTATAGCATAGCTTGTAGATGCTATAATTATCACACAAACCAATTAATATGCAGTTAATGGGATTTTTTTTACCAAAGACATGTAGCAAAATACATTTTGGCCTAAATTTATGACAAAATTTGAGTTTATTGGATATATTTTATGACAGAAATGAGAAAATATTGTTTTTTTTTCTCAAAATGTTTGGTCTTTTTTTGTTTACAGCACAAAAAATAAAAAAACCCAGAGGTGATAAAATACCACCAACAGAAAGCTCTATTTGTGTGAAAAAAGGAAATAAATTTCATTTGAGTACAGCATTGCATGCCCGCGCAATTGTTGAAATAGCACAGCACCGTAATGCAAAAATGGCCTGGTAAGGGGGGGGGGGGGTAAATCCTCTGGAGGGCAAGTGGTTAAATAAATTAGTATTTATTTACAGACGTAACTTACAAACACTAAATAGTCAGATTGTGATATGCATAGACACTAACATCTTTGCATAAAAAGTCTAAAAATGTCTAGCAACAGAGTGGAGTGAATTAAATGCAATAATTTGTTTCTCCCTGTAGACAAGATAGCCAATGATAACTAATTATCAAACATTATCTGCGTTTTACTGAATTCAAATGTTATTCCCCTGCAGAAGGAATAAGCGTCAAACTACGCAAAATCATATGCCAATACAGCCAAAGAACCGACAAATAATAAAAAAACAAACAACAAATAAATTAATTTGGGTAGTTATATTATCGTGGGGAGAACAATTAGGTTACAACAAAAAAGATGGTAATTGGCTTATTAATCTACGCAAGCCAAAGCAACAGAAGATATGTTATAATTACCCTCCAAATATCCGGTAACCTTTTAGATGACTGATGATCAGACCTAAAGTTGGCTGCAGATTAAAGGGTGGATTTGGTCTTCCCCAAAATGGCGTCTAGCTATGCTGGAACTGTGTTGTGAATCAGTGGGGTTGATTTACAAAAGCGCCCGGTCGACGAATAGGCGCACTCCCGTGGACAAAGTCTAATTTTAAATGGACGCCATCTACTTTTAGTCGGAAAAGACATTTACTAAAGCACATGTCAAGAAATCAACACAAAGGGAGACTTAGCCGGATGTGAGGAGAGCTAGACATGTGGCTGAGCTCCGCTCCAAAATCATCCTTTAATTGATACTGTGGCAGCGGTTTACCTGTCTCCCACCTACAGGCACCTCCCCGACAGCGGTAAGCCAGGTGGGCACACTTCTGTATCATGTCGCCCAGCAAGCAAAAATCAGGCTGGCCTTTGGTGGTCCCCTCGCACTCCTCTCCCCCAGCTGCCCTATTGTAGTGTCGGTGGGCACGCCAACATCTCTGGAGAATTTGGATGATCCTGGTCTGTCTCCGGCTGACCTCCTAGTGGCTATCACCTCCTGTAAGAAAGCCCTGACTGTAGCAAACTTGCTCATCAGAGATAGACGCGGAGTTCCCCTTTTTTATTAGAAGTATTCCTCAACCCTTTATTTCCTACCCCCTCCCTTCCTGAGAGGCACAGGGACAGATGTGTAAGTGTTAAAAGTTGCTGGCAGGCTGGAGCAGCAGGGGGCCCAGCGCTACAAAGCCCCCCCATAATAGAGACAGCAGACTCTCTGTCCCAAGGCCTGTGTAAAATCACACCTCCTAATCAAAATAAGATAGTTTTTTTTTTCCAGGGACTTGAAAGAAATTGGAACCTCATAAACTGTCAGAAATGGACTCGCCAATAGTGGTGGGACTCACCTGCCTTGTGGGTTGCAGTACCAGGACTGGCCAGCGGGTGCTCTCAGCAACCAGAGGCTCACTCCTGCAGTCAGCCAAAACACCTGAGGCTGATTGCAGAAGGTGCATATAAGGAATGGCCAGACTTGCAATCAGGTCCTTGGTGTATGTTTCCAAAGAGCCCCTGTACCTGCATCCTGTCTGCTTCCTGTCTGATCCTGCTTGATCCCTGACTTTGATTGAACTCCGCCTGTCCTGACCTCTGCTATTCCTGACCACTCTCCAGTCTGCTCCTTTGTACCTTGTCTGCCTGATTGTTCCTGACCCGGCCCGTCTGACTACGCTCTGCCTGCTCCTTTGTACCTTGCCTGCCCATTTGCTACCAACCCGGCCTGCCCGACTACGCTTAGTATTGTTCTTTTGTTATCTGTTGGGGGTTTTGCTTTGGTTTGTTTGTACTGTGTTTATGTTTAGTCTTACACTGCGTTTATGTATTCTTTAGTCTTAAATAAATTATATTGTTTATACTATATCTGAAGCCTGCGTTTCCCTGTGTCAGTCCACACACCTCTGGTCATACCCGGAGCCCTGACATTACACCAAGGCCAATCCTGACCAGAAGTGGCTGCACAGGGAAGCCATCTTGGCTCATTGTTGCTGGGAAGGATGAATCTTGATGAGATGGTGTATTTGTCTCTGCTAGTGTTTGATGACAGAGATTATGCTTATCAGACTCTGAAGGAGTATACCAGGGATCAACTACTAGAGTTCATAAGGATCGCTCATTGCCTAGTAGATCAGGGCACAGAGTTCTCTGAGGTGCAACCATTGATTCGTTTGTGCAGAGTTGGTTTCATCTGGTACCCCCGAAAGCAGGGATGAATTTTTGCCGCCATTTAGTGCCGACCAGGTAGAGTCCCTGGTATGGTTATTGGAGGATGACGTGGATTACTTTCTGGAGCGTTATTCTGCATGTTCACAACAGGTACTAAGAGACTGTATAAACGCAGTGCAGTCTTTGACCAGACAGGCTTTGTGTAAGCTGAGCTTTGTTCAACCCATACTGCAGACATGGTCAGACTTGTTGCACCCAGCCTCAGTCAGCTTGCAACGTCATTCCTCTGCTCAAGGCACTCTTCCTGCATCCCCGACAGCACCCCCAGTGACGGCCCAGTATACTCTGCTAACTACCACATATCAGTCCCCTGCTCCCACTCGCTGCACCTATCCTATCTTTAACCCTGTAAAGAAGTCCTCTGTAGCAACTGCTCCCTCCTTTGTTCCATCCCCCAGCTCTTCTCTGCCTACAGCTGCTCTATCCACTTACAAACCTGCGCTTACTTCCTGTGCTCCAGTAACTAAAACCAGGAAAAAGCGAAAATTCTTTCCAACCAGTACCATCCTGCCAGTATCCAAACCGGTCAGCCTGCCGTCTGAGAACCCGCCTTCCGTGGTTCAGCCTGGTGCCCCGGCACCCGCAATTCAGCCTGATACCCTGATGCCTGATGACCCTGTGTACGCTACCCAGCCTGATGGTTCTACCCAGCCTGATGTTCCTACCCAGCCTGTGCCTGCTGTCAAGCCAGATAACCCGGTACCCGCTGTCGAGCCGGACGATCCAATGACTGATGACCCGGTGCCCGCTGTCGAACCAGATGACCCGGTACCCGCTGTCGAGCCCGATGACCTGATGCCAGATGACCCGGTGCCCACTGTCTTGCCAAATGACTCGGTGCCCGCTGTCTTGCCAGATGACTCGGTGCCCGCTGTTGAGCTTGACGACCCGATGCCCGCTGTCTTGCCAGATGACTCGGTGCCTGCTGTCTTGCCAGATGACTCGGTGCCCGCTGTCTTGCCAGATGACTCGGTGCCCGCTGTCTTGCTTGACGACCCGATGCCCGCTGTCTTGCCAGATGACTTGGTGCCCGCTGTCTTGCTTGACGACCCGATGCCCACTGTCTTGCCAGATGACCCGGTGCCCGCTGTTTTGCCAGATGACTCGGTGCCCGCTGTCTTGCCAGATGACTCGGTGCCTGCTGTCGAGCTTGACGACCCAATGCCCACTGTTTTGCCAATGACTCGGTGCCCGCAGTCTTGCCAGATGACTCAGTGCCCGCTGTGTTGCCAGATGACTCGGTGCCCGCTGTGTTGCCAGATGACTCAGTGCCCGCTGTCTTGCCAGATGACCCGGTGCCCACTGTCTTGCCAGATGACTCAGTGCCCGCTGTGTTGCCAGATGACCCGGTGCCCGCTGTCTTGCCAGGTGACTCGGTGCCCGCTGTGTTGCCAGATGACTCGGTGCCCGCTGTGTTGCCAGATGACTCGGTGCCCGCTGTCTTGCCAGATGACCCGGTGCCCGCTGTCTTGCCAGATGACTCGGTGCCCACAGTCTTGCCAGACGACTCGGTGCCCGCTGTCTTGCCAGATGACTCGGTGCCCGCTGTCGAGCTTGACGACCCGATGCCCGCTGTTTTGCCATATGACTCGGTGCCCGCAGTCTTGCCAGATGACTAGTTGGGGTTGAGAACACGCCGACTGCCTCTCCAGCGGTCAGGAATGTCCCGCAATGCGGAGTGGAACCGGGTGCAGTTGCCCACTTTAGGGGCCTCGCGGTGTTCGTTCGGCCCTGTCTGGGAAGAGCCACTTGGGCCCCTGTCACTAGGCAGGAACCAAACGCCCGTGCCCAGTCTGACAGTGGAGAAGGGTAGCTGTCAGAGTGTGATACGAGTGTGACAAGTTTGTATAAGAGTGAATGTATAGATTATAATTGAACACTTGGTTTCCTTATTACCGGAATAACAGGTTATTACAGTTCTTGGTTTTGCACTGTTACAGGTATAACAGGTTATTACAGTTCAGATTCGTTTGTGCAGAAGGGAATGAAACTTGTTTTATCTGGAATTAAGATAAAATTGTTATGAGATGGGGCACACCGTGAGAACAAACAACTGAGCATGAACCCATGCCGTGTTCACACGCTGGAACTTATCTACTGCGCAGATACACACGTGAAATAACAATTTTGTCTTATAAGAAGGGGGGATTTCTGAGGAGAAAACGGGACTTAATCTTGGTGCGACAGACGTGTCTTGCGGTGTTTTCTCCCGGTTTCCTCCTCGCTGATTGCTGGAAGTCCCCCAATCAAGGCGAAGGGTGATGCTACAATATCCGGTGATGTATTGATGCTTACTCTTTATGATTTATTCTATATATGATTAGCTATAACCTGTAATAGGAAATATTAAATATCAATAAATATACTTTTTTTATTTTACCTAAAAAGACTTAGTCTTTGCCTATCTAGTATGATAGTGAGTGAGTTGCAGAATTAATTTTGAGCAGGTAAAACATAAATTGGCGTAGTCGGCAGGATTATTTGGGGAAAATGTTGTTGTTTTAAAGTATTTTGCTTTGGGATTTTCAGCGGAGACCTCTTTTGCGCAGAGGAGTCTTCGTGCAAAATCTTGAAAATTGGCTTTTTGCCAATAAGGTTCAAATGTTTATAGAAGGACCGCAGAAACATGATATTGAAAAATTAAGAACAGAAATTGAAAGTGAGCATTCAGATGTTTTATTTGAACCTGTTGGCACTTTGCCAAAAGTTTTGAATTAGTATATTTTTGACATTGATGTTAAGAGAGGGACGGGACTTGGGGAGGTTCAACTAGTAAAAGAGGGGAACCTCTGGCCGGAGTCACGCGCATTTGGCACTTTGCCAAAAATTTTGAAACACATAACTACTATCCCCGTTTAAAAGAACTAACAATGTTTAGGAAGAAGAATAAAGATAAAAGTGAGGAAAAAGTGGAGGTACCCGGCTGGACCGAGGCTCCATACAATATTGTTGCTAGAGAATTAGTTACACAGGGTTTGGCTGAATCATGGGAGAGTAAACTAAAAGAGGCCGAACCCCTTGATGTTGTAAATGTACTCAAGGGGGTCCCTGTAAAGACAGGTGATGCAGTGGCTTTAGGCCGGAGGGGCTGGATATTAGCATCCGCCTATCGAAAGGTTCATAAAAGGTTGCAGAAGTTACAAAAAGCTTTTCATCAGGCAGAGCAAAGGATGATAGAATCAGAAGGGAAAATGGTGGTATTGCAGTGTAACCAAAAATTATTGAAGGATAAACTGGAGCATTATCAGAATATTGCAGAGAAGGCTGCAGTAAAAGTTGTCCAAAATAAATACAGAAAGAGGAAGGGAAGAGTTAATAAGAGTAAGGTTCATAAAGCTATAGCCTCAGCGTCAGTGGATTGGAATCCTGATAAATGGGATGGAGATGTGTGGGATTCTTCATCCTCGGATGATTGGGATGATTGCCCTGGGGGGTCCAATTGCCCGAATCCAGAGATAGATCCCCCGAAAGGGGTAAAGCCAGTAAGAAGGAGGCAGCAAACCACAGAGGATGGCCCAGTACAACCTGTGCTAGATGCCGATGGACAACCGGTTAGAAATGAACAAGAAGAACCTGTCACTGAACCTACCTCCATAGTTAGGAACAGGGTCAGAATGGAGGATTTTACACAGGCGGAGGTAGATGATATTCTCCACAGATTTAGGCAACGACCTGGAGAGTCGGATGCTCAGTGGATGGTGAGATTATATGATATGGGGGCAGGAGGAGTGATGTTGGATGTGGGAGATGTTTTCAAATTTGTCACCTTATCTAGAGATCCGGTAGTTCAGAAGATAATCAGGACATATTTCACAGAACACCCAGAAGAACAATTACATTTATTTGCCCTGATAGCAGTTGGATTTAATGAAAAATATCCCACTGAATCGGATTGGCCCACTAATGATAAACCTTGGTATACCCTTAGGGACGGGATAGAAAGAGTTAAGGAGGAAGCTATGAAAAGTGCAATAGTTTATATTGCGGATGATGATCTAATGCAAACCAGGTTAACGGTAGGGATAAGAAATAAAGTGATAAAGGCGGCAACCCCCGCATATAAGAATGTGGTCATGACGTTGCTGTTATCATTAGGAGGGGCTACCATTCAGGAGGTAGTGGATAAAATGAGGGAACGTCAGGAAATGGGGGCATGGGATTCTAGGGACAGAGAAAATGTTAAACCCCAAGGAAATAGGGAACGCAATCAGGATAATTTTTCTGGGAACCCTGGAGGATTTCCTCGGGTCTCCAGAAAAGAAATGTTTCAGGCTTTATTAAAAGCAGGAGTAGATAAGGACAAAATGATGGTCAGGATACCACAGTGTTGTGGAAATTATATAAAAAAAAGGTTTTATCTGGAAAGAGGGTAAATAAAACTGAGTCCAGGGAGGACAAGGACCAGGGCAAGTCCAAAAAAGAGGAGAAGTTTCCAAATTGGGATGATTTTCAAAAATTTACCCATGGGAGGAGATGGCTGCTATGGTAGCCACAAAGGTACAGGCTGCCATTAAGCCATCAGCTCCTCCTCCTGTGGATGAGGGGAGTGAGGGATTCGGCATAGGTAGCTAGCCAAGCCCCCATATGGATAAGGAAAGATGAAAGACCCTATGTACAGTTGGGTATCCATTGGAAAGGGGGCAACGTGCAGCGTGTGCCCGCTCTGGTGGATACGGGGGCAGGAGGCTACCTTAATTTACGGGAACCCTAAAAAGTTTAAAGGCCCAAAAGTAAAAATTTCCGGGTTGGGAGGAAAAGTAACAGAGGGAGTTCAAACACAAGTGACACTAAAAATAGGGAATTTACCTCTTAGAAAATATACAGTGCTGGTCGTTCCCATTCCAGAGTATATAATTGGAATAGATGTACTAAAAGGGGTGACCCTACATTTAGAGGAAGGTAAATTTGCTTTTGGAGTTAAGAAAGCAGAGATTCAGGCTAGGCCAGTGGTAGTAGGAAAAGCAAAGATGCCCCCTGTACACATTCCCCCAGCAACAAAAATGGTGTCAATGAAACAATATAGGATTCCGGGGGGACATAAGGAAATAGGAGAAAACCATCAAAGAATTGGTTGATGCGGGGGGTAATGAGGCCCGCTACCACTGCCTGGAATAATCCTGTTTGGCCCATTCGCAAAAATGACGGTTCTTGGCGTATGACAGTAGATTACCGAGAATTGAACAAATATACACCCCCTTTAACGGCTGCCGTACCAGACACCATTACTGTTGTAGAACAGATACAATCACATGCAGGAGAATGGTATGCGGTTATTGATTTGGCGAATGCCTTCTTTACTATTCCTATAGAAGAGAAGGCCCAAGACCAGTTTGCCTTTTCCTGGCTAGGGAGGCAGTACACTTTCACTAGGTTACCACAAGGTTGGCTGCATAGTCCAACCATATGCCACCAGATGGTGGCAGAACATCTAGATGAATTCCAGATATCTAAAGAGATGCAAATTTCTCATTATATTGATGATATAAATGATTCAAGGGAATACCAAGGAAGAGGTGGAACAACAGCTTTGAGAAGCTGTTGGCTCATATGAGGAGTAAAGGATGGGAGATTAATGCTGAAAAAGGTCCAAGGACTGTCCCAGGTGGTGACATTTTTAGGCATACAGTGGAACAAGGGACATAGGGAAATACTCCCTAAGGCTAAACAGAAAAATACTCAATTTTGTAACACCCAAGACTAAGCAAGAAACCCAGTCCTATATTGGACTTTTTGGATTCTGGAGACAACATATTCCACATCTGGGTCAATTGTTGGCTCCATTGTACAAAAGTCACCAGGAAAAAGTATGAATTTTCCTGGGGAGAGGAACAACAAATCGCATTTGAAGCAGTAAAAGAAGCTATTCAACAAGCGGTAGATTTTGTGGCCAATAAAGGAAGGAGAGGTGGAATTGCATGTTTCCACCCAGCATATGTATGCCAACTGGTCATTATGGCAGAAACAGGAGGGAAAAAGGGTGCCTTTGGGATTCTGGAACAGGAAATTACCTGATGCAGGTTCCAAATATACTCCTTTAGAACAGCAGTTTATTGGCGTGTTATTGGGCATTGGTGGAGACGGAACAATTAACTTTGAATCATGTAGTGTTGTTGAGGCCGCAGATTCCCATTATGCAATGGGTCCTGTCCAGTCCTAAATCCAACAGATAAGGACATGCACAGCAGCAAAGCGTGATTAAGTGGAAGTGGTATATTTCTGAAAGAGCAAAAAAGGGGGAGGGGGGAGTAGCAGCTTTACATGAAAAAATAGCTAATATCCCTCCTGAAGACATTAACCCTTTAGAAAGAGCAGCACAAATAGAAGAATCACCAGTAAAATGGGGAAGACAATATTCAGAATTAACTGAACAAGAACAAACACATGCATGGTTTACAGACGGGTCTGCCAGATATGTTGGAGGGCACAGAAAATGGAAAAGTGTGGCCTTCAACCCCAAGTTGGGAAAGACCCTGACTATGGAGGGGGATGGCAAAAGCAAGTCAATATGCAGAACTATATACTGTGTTCATGGCTTTCAAACAGGAACAAGTAGTGTGAGTGTCACATATACACTGACTCATGGTCAGTGGCGAATGGATTGGCCACTTGGCTCATGGGTTGGAAAAAACATAACTGGCAAATACATGGTAAAGAAGTATGGGGGAAAGAGTTATGGCAAGATATAGAGAATTTTGTGAGAAATACCAAATCCTCTGTATTCCATGTAGATGCACATGTGCCTCTTGACTCATTAGAACGCTTGTTTAATTCCCAAGCAGACGCTGCCGCAGCCATATCCAAAAC